CCAAAGGTCGATCCATAAGAAACAAGGGAATGTAAGAAAAAAATGAACAAATTCCGTAGAGTAGTATCTAAAGTCTCATCCTTTACGAGTAACCCTGTAAGAATATAAGGAAAATTAACCAATTCCGTACCGAATGTAAAAAAATAAAGAATGTGAAAAAAAATAATGTAAAAATAGACTGGTTATTTTTATTTGTGGATTTCTTGCTTCTGTAGAAAAAGAATAACTGGAGAAATTATCAAAATTTAACACTTTTTAAACAGAAAATCGACGTTATCTCTCACAATGATGTGAATCGGTGATGACCTTCTGAAAATAGAGAGTCGTTTGAAATTTATCGACTGTCCCTTTAAGAAATTAAAAATGAAAATAGATATTCATGAAATTTATCGACTGTCCCTTTAAGAAATTAAAAATGAAAATAGATATTCATGAAATTATTCCTAGAAAATAGCATTTCTCAACAACAATTGCCTAGTACACATTCATTGAAACTCTGTTTCTGAAACTGGGTTTATTGGTTTAAGTTTTGGGATCAGAGTCCATAAGGTTTAAGAGTATTTGTTTAACGCCTGTAAGATAGTTGTGTAGAGATAATATCAATATTTTTGTCAAGAATCATTATTTCACATTGTTAGTTGGCTTTTTTCTTATCATTTTCTAATTCTTTCGTTAAAGTGATATTAAAAGGTTTGCTTGATTAAGACTGAATCAGACATCATTATTTATCTTTTTTTTAAGATTGTTCATTTTCAACAGACGGTTCTTTACAAAAATGATTTGCGTATTTCTGCTTCAAAAATGTTAAAATATGTGGTTTTTAAAAAATTGGCTAATTTAAATTAAGGTTCTCCATAACTATGACTTTCCACCATGTTCTTATATTATAATTTTTCTTTGAGCACCCTGAATCAATAATTCAATTAAATCTTTAACACCCTGTAACTATTATTCAATTATATTTTAAACTCCCTGTATCTAGAAAAGAATTATATTTTGAACACCCTGTATCTAGAAACCAATTATATTTTGAACACCTTGTATCTATAATACAATAATAAGTTGAACACCCTGTATCTAGAATACAATTTTATTTTGAACACCCTGTATCTAGAATACAATAATAAGTTGAACACCCTGTATCTAGAATACAATTATATTTTTAACACCCTGTATCTAGAATACAATTATATTTTGAACCCCCTTTTTCTATAATACAATAATAAGTTGAACACCCTGTATCTAGAATACAATTATATTCTTAACACCCTGTATCTTATATTTTGAACTCCTTGTTTCTATAATACAATAATAAGTTGAACACCCTGTATCTAGAATACAATTATATTTTGAACACACTGTATCTAGAATACAATAATAAGTTGAACACCCTGTATCTAGAATACAATTATATTTTTAACACCCTGTATCTAGAATACAATTATATTTTTAACACCCTGTATCTAGAATACAATTATATTTTGAACTCCCTGTATCCAGAATACAATTATATTTTGAACTCCCTGTATCTAGAATACAATTATATTTTGAACTCCCTGCATCTAGAATACAATTATATTTTGAACTCTCTGTATCTAGAATAAAATTATATTTTGAACTCCCTGTATCTAGCATACAATTATATTTTGAACACCCTGTATCAATGATTTTTTTGTTTCTTATACAATATTGGTTAGCTGAAGTCAACGGAGAGATTTTCGAATATTCGACATAGTTTTATGACAAATGGACGACAAAAACGACCCATTCTAAATATAAGAACTAAATATTACAGCACTTTTTTGCGTCTTTTTAAACGATTAGAAGGGCTGAAAATCCCCAATCAAATAAAAAAAGATAAAAATAGTTTAAATGGAACTTTATTCTTATATTTAAGTATGTTACAATTAGACTGAGCAATGTCAGATTATCAAAAATCTAAATAAACTTTTTAATTTAACATTAAACTCTAAAACGTTAAAAAACTGCCATTGTATTGCAAACATTGGAATATTTTACAATTTAAGGAAAAGTTGTTTTGTTACAAACTATAATAATATTTGGAACGGGGTGGCTCATTTTTCAATTTCAATATCACTCGAAGTCGTAACATGCACATCAAATACATGGGGTTTCTCATGTACATCAAATACATGGGGTTTCTCATGTACATCAAATACAGAGTTTCTCATGAGTTCAGAGATGACTTGAATATCGTCTTTGAACTTTTGTAATAATTTGTGGCATTTACATCAACCCAATGGTAGAAGAAAAATAATTGAATTAATAAACATTAAACACAAACACTCCTGGTCCAAAATGTGGTCTACCTTTTTTGTAATTCATATATTACCAGAGATAAAAAGAATTTCATTCAGAGAGAAAGTTGACAAATGAATGCCGCAAATTATTTCTATGATCAAAGACGATATTCAAGCTTTTTCTCTTTATTGTCATGTTCCGTGGGACACCCTGTATGTTTACAGCTATGTGTGATAGTGTCATTGATATGCAAAATAATTAATTTTTCAGTGAAGCAATGAATGAAGCAGTTTAAATCGACAATTGAATTTTTTTCTCTTAATTTGGATGAAATGTATGTTTACACAGTTTTCAAAGACAATCCAGATCTGAGTTCGTCCAACCAGAGTTCTGCATCATCTCTTGCTGCTCCAGCCTAAACAAAAAACAAAAATGCTTAAAGGGGATGTAAGCGTAATTTCATTTGACCCTCCATGCAAAGATTGCAATGCTAAGGTCTCAAGGGTACCGTTGTGAATCATGTAAAGCCATGTAAAGCATGAAAGGTCCCTTGAAGTTACGCTTTCAGTCACTTTCAGAAACGGCGTTTAGGTTGAACTACATAATTCTTTTCCACAGTGGAAAAGGAAGACGACTTTTAGTCCAAATCTACAAGATTTACTTAAGGTCGTCTTCTTATTTCACTGTATTATTAATAAACCTTACCATTTTCTTGGTTTGATGAAGCATTATGAATATTTTTAAAAAATTGTAAATAAATTTTTTGACGAATAAAAAAGATAAATAAATACCGTTTTTTTTCATAATTGATTCAAGATTTCAGCATGGAGGCAGAAAGTTATGAAACTAATAGAATTTTAAATTTTAGTTTTAGGTGTTGAAACTGAAAAGAACCTTTACCTTAAAGTTGACATCGTCCATATAGCTTCCCACACTAAAATGTTCCAAGCACTCCAGGCAATCGTCTAGGTTTCCTATCACGCTCTAGAATATATTTTTTTTTAATGAAAAAAATGAAAAATTTTACGCTCTACAGTGATAACCAGAATACATAGGAAAAGGAAGACGACATAATTAAGAGTATTTGATGTTGTTACAAAACAAATAGTTTTACTAGGCAATTATTAAATCACTAACCTAGTGAAATGGGTCTGTTTACGTTACACTGTTGCTGTGTCTTATGCTCATTGGACGTTCAAAAGTTACAACTTGATTCCAAAAGTCGTCCTCCTTTTTCAGGGTTTTCTGGTTATCACTGTATAGTACAAAACTCTCGTCTACAGAGAGTAAACAATTTTTATTTTATTTGCTTTTATTCATGACAGTTAAAAACCAGAATGAAAATAGTCTTTATTAAGTCTTTAAATAAAAAAGCGGGTTTTGATTTTAAATCTTTTACAATTCTAAAAATTCTGAACATTTTAAGAGATATTAATCGAAAGCATAAAATATGAACACTTATCTGTTCCTTTCTAATCTCTGTATCTTTGCAACCTGATGGTGTAAACCTTTTGATATTTCAAACTTTGACTATTTATCTAACAGAATTCATAATTTTAAAAATCTCAGGTCTTCTAAGTCCTTAAAAAGATATAGGGATTTGAAAATCAGATTTTATTGGAAAGACTTGATTTCTTCTATATATAAATTTGGCTTGTCTGTCTGTTTGTTTGTATCCAATAAACGTCAAAAGGGCTGAATTGATCGGGCCCAAATTTTTTGTTGGACATCACGTGACCACAGAGAAGGTTTATGTAATATTGATGGTATCAACTCTTTTAATTGAGTGTCTTTATAAATTAAGTTAACAGTCCCTTTAAGTACTGCAATACAATAGTATTTATATCAATTTCTATTGAGGGTTCATGAAGTTTTTTGTTGTTGACAGCTCCGTTGAGACAACAGAATAGTTTCTTTCCAAATAAAATTTTAAAAGGTCATTTTATAAATAAAATTAAATTAAAATATGATCTCGCTTAATCTGATGAATGACCTGAAGATGACAGATTGCTCGCTCAAACAAAGATAATCCTCGCCGCTGGGTCAACCCGGGTTCAACAATCTCAATAAACTAAACACATAATATCTTAACAACTGTTCAACAGTCTTTGAACAGGGACTATAATTAATGAATTTGAGCTAAGTTTCAGAACTACCTAGGCTGGTTCAGCGTCCTCTCCAATTCGTTAAATTCGTTGAAATTGTATGCATGAAATTTCAAATCCGTAAAATGTATGTAAATGTAATTTCAGATGTTTCATTGTCCGCGTGGGTAACGGAGGTGAAATAGGTGGATCATCTCTTTAATTATCCATTTGGATTCATAATGTACAAGGAGTATGGAATAGAAGGGAGATACAATTGACGCGGCCAGCCCTACCATATGATTATAAATGCTTTGCAGACTGTACTCCATTTTTATAAGAACTATTTGTCTGATGTACAATTACCGCGTATGCAAGAACCTATTCTGTATATTTCTTATACAAATGGAGTACCGTCTGAAAAGCATATATAATCATATATGGTAGGGCGGGCCGCGTCAGTTGTATCTTCCCTTCTATTTCATACTCCTTGCTAATGCGTATTTGTGAACTTTTATACGACTTTGTACGAAAACTGCAGCATTTAGGATTAAATAGATTATAAACCGCAACAATGATTTTTTTAAAATTTTATTATACTGTTGCGCTCTCAGCTCTCTTATCCCGATCTTTGCATTGAGCTCATTCCTTAAAGGGAATGCCCGGCTAGACATCGTAGTTGAGATGAGAGTGTAGTATTGTAGAGAAAATTTTTATGATGCATGTAATACCTTTGAGATGTTTTTATGATTTATAATTGTTCAGCAAGAGCGAAATTACAATCTTTAAAATCCTGTTTGATTGTCAATTCCGTAAGAATGTTAGATCTGAAATAAATCCGGAAAAGTTTCTCTGCAACACTGCACTCTCAGCTTAACTCCTATGTCTAGCCAGTCACTCCCTTTTGAAATTATTATTTTACATTTAATGTAAAATAAATTAACCTGATGAATTTCATCCAGGAACTCCTTTCTTCTCATTAAAAGTTCAAGCTCTGCTTCGTTTGGGTTTCTAGCTCCAAGCTTTAAGAAAGCAGAGTTCAGTTTTATTCTAGAAATACATAATTTATTTTCATAGCTTCTAGTTTTAGGAAGGGTTCAGTTTTATCCTGGAAATAAATAATTTATTTTCATAGCTTCTAGTTTTAGGAAGGGTTCAGTTTTATTCTAGAAATAAATAATTTATCTTTATAAGTTCTAGTTTTAGGAATATTATAAACCTGTTTCGTGTGCAAATATAATAATAAAAACTGTTTAGTGTGCAAATATAATATTATTAACCTGTTTAGTGTGCAAATATAATGACTAGGATGAAACATTTTGACTGCTTTCTCTAGCAGATTATCCAACATCAAACAATCATCAGTAGCTTCCTGGATTCCAAAATGGTGGATTAAGAAGACGACATTTAATCAATATTATGTGGATTAGTTAAGTTCTTATCAATCAAATAGTTTCATTACTGGCTTGAAAATTAACTTATTTAGTGAAATGGATCTGTGGTCAGTCAATGCACAAATACGGTGTTTAAAATTCATTGCACAGTTCAAAGTCACAAATTGAGTCTTGAAGTCGTCTTCCTATTCAACAGTTTTATGGGTTTCACTGTAGATAGAAATACATTTCGAATATGGATTAATACAATAATACAATTTCTATTTTTACAGTTAATTTTCTTGATTTCGCTTACTCCCACACTGACTGGGAATAAATCATTAATTACTCCCACACTGCCTGGGAATACATCATTAATTACTCCTACACTGCCTGGGAATACATCATTAATTACTCCAACACTGCCTGGGAATACATCATTAATAACTCCCACACTGCCTGGGAATAAATCATTAATTACTCCCACACTGCCCGGGAATAAATTGTTAATTACTCCCACACTGCCTGGAATAAATCATTAATTACTCCCACACTGCCTGGGAATACATCATTAATTACTCCCACACTGCCTGGAAATACATCATTAATTACTCCCACACTGCCTGGGAATACATCATTGATTACTCCCACACTGACTGGGAACACATCATTAATTACTCCCACACTGCCTGGGAATACATCATTAATTACTCCCACAGACTGGGAATAAATCATTAATTACTCCCACACTGCCTGGGAATACATCATTAATTACTCCTACACTGCCTGGGAATAAATCATTAATTACTCCCACACTGCCTGGGAATACATCATTAATTACTCCCACACTGCCTGGGAATANACATAATTAATTACTCCCACACTGACTGGGAATAAATCATCAATTACTCCCACACTGCCTGGGAATACATCATTAATTACTCCCGCACTGCCTGGGAATAAATCATTAATTACTCCCAGACTGCCTGGGAATACATCATTAATTACTCCCACACTGCCTGGGAATAAATCAGTAAATACTCCCACACTGCCTGGGAATAAATCATTAATTACTCCCACACTTCCTGGGAATATATCATTAATTACTCCCACAAAGCCGGGGATACATCATTAATTACTCCCACACTGTCTGGGAATATATTATTAACTTATGTATGGGAAGATTAGTAAATAATCCGTTTGAAACAGCTGACTTATATTTCTGAGATTTTTTGTGGCTTTTAATTGGTTGATATAATTGACAGACGAAGCTTTTATCAAAAATGTCCTGGATAGTTTTTCTGGGTCGTTCAAAACATAAGTTACGTATTAGCTCTTTATGAAATGTGTAAAAATACAAAATATTTTCAAAAGTTGAACATCAAATTTTTCAATATAAAATATGAATTCTATAATCAATCTACAAAAAAAACTACATGACTCAGTTCAAATTGTTTGGCGCTCTATTTTTAAATTTTAAGGTTTTATGACAAATTTATCATAATACTATTTATCATATTAATTGGTGAATCTACCCGAGGGAAATGTTGTAAATCGTTTTGGATTGTATTTTTAATAAAAAATCTTCCATGATTTTTAAACTGTATTTTGTTTAATTTTGCTTTTATTAAACTTCGATTGTTGCATATATCTTCTATCAGGTTTAAAATTTGACATTGTAAATAAATGTTTAGCGAAATTTTTTAAAAATTTGCTTTTCCTACATTATGCCAAACTTTGACCCTAAAGAAAAAAATATGCAAAAAAACGAGCAAAAAATGAGCAAAAAAGAGCTAAATCGAGTTTAAAACGACCCAACTAATATCACATCACTACCTCAGGGTCTATAGGATTAGTTGACAAGACAAGGCCCTCTATGCATTTCAGGCAAGCAACTGCACTAGCGAAGGATAGGCACTCTGAAACAATATTTTTTTTCTATGAAATCTATTTTTGAAATTATCTGTTACACAGTTTTCTGAACAAAACTCGATTGATTTCA